CGTGTTTAAAATTGTATCCTATTAATTCTCGGGCCAGAATAAAGTGGATAACTCAGAATATATTGCATGAAGACATTAAAAATATACATATAATTTTATGTTATCAGTACTTGGTGTCGCCGCAATCGCAGATGATCTCCGTCATCACAGCCTTTCAGTTAGCAAGCAGTTTAGGTTCGGTAAAGATTTGACGTGAAAAAAATCATTCTCCCACGACACTACAGATGTTGGGCAAGATTATTACATAGTCGATAAATATCCATCGGTCAGCACATCGATTACGAATTTCCGTGATGGAAAGCTTAGTACAGGGCTTTTTCGTCGCTGGTCCACAGGGTTGCATCGACCATATTACCTCCATGCATCGACCATGCGCCCGCCATTATTCTATTACGTCATTTAAGTGAACCGCCCTATGGTGCGTAAATTGACATTTTTGATTGGTCGGGCGATTGACCTAGTGTTACATTTTCATTATACTGGATTCGGTAAAAGAGTTAAGCGGTCATGTACCTTCTGTAAATCTAACCTTGCACACATAATCTTGTACTGATGTGTTTTTTGTCCAAGAAAGACATTCCCTTTCATTTAACAAATGACAAGTAACTATATTGATTTGCGTCAAGCTGGGTGGCCCGAATTTAAATATCAGTGCATGAATCAAACACGTGGTTATTAGAGTTCAGTCGAAATGTATGTGAATAATGCAATCGAAGTTCGCTGCCCAGAGTTTATTATATTATAGTAAAATTTAATTTGACGTATGGTATGTTTATGTTTACGTAATTATTATGAATGCAACATATTATCAAGTCGGTGATATTGAAATACTCACAGACCCAATACCCCGGGTCAGTGCCCTAACAATAGTTAAAAAAAAAAACTAATTATCATGAAAGCAATACATAACGAAGTACAGAGCCAGTACAATATTGTAAACAAATTTGCGTAATTAGAAAAGCAGTGCACTAAGTAAACGATGTTCAAGTTGATATATTCAAGCCAGTACAAAGTTGCATACCAGTTGCGTAATTACAGTACCTTCG